CCCCAAAACCCCAAAACCCCAAAACCCCAAAACCCCAAAATATTATTTCAAAATAAATAATTTTCTTAAGATTCTAAACTAATCTGGTTAGCAATGAACTCTTTAACTCGCTCTGCTAACTGTGCTCCTTTCTTGGTAGACTTTTTAGATGATCTATAGGATGACTATAACGGGAGGATAAGTAGAAACAAACCATGGTAAAGCTCTATTGATAATTTTCTAGTCTTTCAGGAACAAAGAATAATCCATCTCGGTATGAAATGTGGTTTAAATATAGGTATTATACACATGGCAATAAGAAATTATTTAAATCTGTGCATTCTTCAAGCTCAAAACAAAAGTAAGCCTTCTCAAAAAACTGATATTTCCTGTTTTGCTTATAGTTATTCAATTTTCTTGTAAAAATAGTTTAAGCTTATCAAGCCATTCAAGCTCAGACTTGACAGAACTTTCATAATAACTAAAGAAGCTTATGCTAAAATAATATAGCCCCTCAAAATCTTCTAAGCTCCTTCATCTAAGTGCTTCTGCACTACAGCCCCAGAGTTTGGTTCATAAATACTCTCTAAAGAAGCAGGTAGGGACACCTAACTAACTCATAGGGGAATATCTACGGTAATTAAACTTCGAATGACTCCAAATAACTTGATTAGGCAACAACATTGAGAGGATCAGCTCGAAGTTCAAGACCTTGTCTCCTGTGAAGAGGAATGACAACAATAGCTCGATTTGATCATCAGTGAATACCTCAAAAGTAGACCTCGTAAATGCTCCAGATCTTCTGAAGCCCCTTGTAGTCGACATAAAAGGTACATCTCTGCTTTAAATACTAGCTAAGAATAAAATTAAAATTAATTCCAAAATCTCTGATGACAACATGATTGGAAGAATTTCCAAGCTTGAGAAATAAGCTTGAAAGCTTACAGAAGGAAAAAAAGGTGCTGACTAGTAGTAACAACAACCTGAAGATCAAGATTGAGTCGATTAATCTCTACCCACTTGTATGACTTTGTGATAAAATTTTAGGACAAGAGCTTCATGCCAGAGCAAAGTGAGACATACCAAGAGATCTTCATAACTGAGTTGAAATAAGGAATGAGATGAAAGCAAACAGACTGTATTGAAATATAAGCAGGATTTAGCAGAAGCTCTAATTCAGGTTGAAAAACTTAAGAAAGACAACTCTAAACTGAGAAAGACTCTTAAAAGATATAGAGTAATGGTCCTTAATTCCTCCCAAGTTAAGGATAGGGTCAATATAAGCACCGAGAAAGAATCCGAAGGTATTTTAATAATGACCTGTAAGTTAGAGAAGCAACAAGGGAGTCAAAATTCAAAGTGAACAAGATTTCACTCAACTTAAAATCCAAAAATAGAGAAGACCTTAAAGAATCATTTGTAAGATTTTGGAATGAGCTTCAGCTTTCGAGACAAAAAGTTTCCTTCGAAAACAGTAGATTCAACGCAATGTTTTCTGATGACTCAAAAGAGAATGAAGAAGACACTCCTTTTAGGACGAGTAGTCTCAAGTTCGCTAGAAAGGTTAGCATGAGTAGATAATAACTTAGACAAGTGAGAAGATAGTGAATAGATCCAGTTCTTTAGATCTAACAGAAGGTCAGATGTACATCCTCAACTCATTTGATAATATTTTCACCCAATACGAGCCCATAAATAACTTGAAGGACCTCTTTACAGTCACAAGGAAAGTGATCTCTGTAATGGTAGATTGAGATAATATTCATATTGCCTTGTTCAATCAAGAGCTAGAGAGCGTAACCTTCTTTTATTATGAATAGGCTTACAAATCTGAGGATAAATAAATTATCTAAAAATGCAGCACTGAAAAGTCATAAAATGATCCCAAGAGATGATTTGATCAAAATGTAAGGATTTTTAAAAGAATGCAGAGAGCATTCTTCGATATAGACTCTTTAAAGGACTTCACCTGACTACATATGATGCATATGAAACTGTGAGCAAAGGCTTTAGGAAATCTGGGAAGGTAGCTCAGTGTGTCTTTCATCCCTACCATAAAAAGATTCATTTATCAAAAGGTAACAAAGGGGTATTCTGAATTATCATGTGTGAAAGATATCAAGATGAGAAATTATCACTCAAAGGGCCTTTTGGGCTCAGAGACTCAAATATCTTAAAACTTATCTGAAAATACCTGAGCCAGAAAATTCTTGCGCTTTTGACAAAATTTGAGGCTAAGAATACCCTGCAGAGATCTTTAGGAATTTTGGATACGTTTAAAAATCTCACTCATGAGACTAATTTAGCTACGATTTTCCAGCACATCACAACTTCAATTCCAAAGTAAACTCTGCCACTCACACATAGAGTCTTCAATTGTGATAGTTGTGGATTATTCTTCGTTGGAAAGTAAGCTTATTCATTCAATATTTAGAGATGTGAAATGCATCTACACTGCAGAATTCGTGGGAAACGAAGGGGATGGACATGATTACTTTAGAAATATACTAAAATATCCTATTGGCCTCGGCTTCACAGGACAGTCAATAGAGAGAAGAAAGCCTTTAGTGTATTATAGAGTCGAAAGTATCCATTCTGGGTCTGAAAATAAGTCTACTATATCTCCTGAAGAGTTTGTAGCAGAAGTTGACAACTCAATATCTCAAGAGAAGCTCAAAAATGGCCTCTATGGACCTTTATATGACAATGAAGGAAATTTACAAGGAGCCATACAGTTGCTTAATAAAGAAAATGGTAACGGAACTTTCACTGAAGAAGAAATTGAGGAGTTCAAGTTCTTGTCAACCATCCTTGCGATAGTAATCAGCAAGCAGTATTCCACTTCAGAGGCATTCAACCCTCATATTGATGGACAAGCTTTACAGATGTATAAATGTGTGAAAAATTTATTCAAAATTCTCACCTCGGATCTGTTACCCCTCTTTGCAACTATGGAATCAGGGGTTGAAAAGAACATCGCTCGGATTTCAAAACTCATGAGTAAAATTATCAATGCTAAAAGAGTTGAAGCCTTTAGATCAAATTACCTTATGAACGAGCTATTTGAGGAGCTACTTAAGGCAAAAAGAAATGTTGGCGGCAAGGCCATTGAAGATATCGACCAGCCAAGCTTTGAAAATTCTGAAAATTCAGACTAAATTTCAATTACATAAATTTCCTTTGGGGTTTTGGGGTTTTGGGGTTTTGGGGTTTTGGGGTTTTGGGG